CAGAGAAACCCTGTCTCGAAAAACCAAAAAAAAAAAATATATATATATATATATATATATATATATATATATATATATATATATATATGTATATACACACACACACACTTCCCTTTCCATATGTTTGTATAGTTTTAAAATTTAAATTTTAAATTTTAAATTAATTAAAAAAGTAAATGTGAAATAAAAATCACCAACTTGGTTGATGAAAACAACAGAACTTATTTTCTCAGCTTTCTGAAGGCCAAAAGTCCAAAACCACTAGGCTATAATCAAGATATCAGCAATACCACCATCTCCAAAGCCCCAAGACAGAATAGATTCCTTGTCCTTTCCAGTGGTGGCCTGCACTCCTGTACCTGTGGCCACATTGCCCCTATCTCTGCTCTGTCTTTATATCATTTGTCTCTTACAAAAAATAATCACGGGACTGGTTCGATCCCTGGAACCCACACTGTGGAAGGAGAGAATCAGCTCACATATATGCTCCCCCAATAATTGTTTTTTAAGATATTTTTTAAATTATGATGATATTTAGGTCCAACCTTCCTAATCAAGGATAATATCCCTATCTCAAGAACCTTAACCTAGTTACATCTACAAAGCCCCTTTTTCCAAATAAAATGACAGCTACAAGTTGTAAGGATTAGGACATTGTGTTGTTGAGGCCCATTATTCAGACAGCTACAGAGAGGTAAAGTACACAAATAGGTTAAATATATGGCAGGGGACAGAAGGTCAACCTGAGAATGAGAAAAGCTTAGGAGAACTTAGCATGTGAAGAGGAAATAACTGTAACATTTGTATGATTAAAATACATTAACTGGAATGTGGTACATTTTTTGATTGTGTGTGTGTGTGTGTGTGTGTGTGTGTGTGTGTGTGTGTGTGTGTGTGTTTTTTGCAGGCTTGTCAGTGTGTATATATGCAAGTTGTGCATACCAGAGCAGGACTTGGGTTGTCTTACTTATTGCCTTGAGACAGCCTCTTACTGAGCCTGAAGCTCATGGCCTTGGCCAGGCTGGTCGGCCAGTGAACCCCCAAGATCAACTTCTCTACCTCCCAGTGCTAGGCTTACGGGGACATGCATCCATGTACCTTATGTGGGTGCTGAAAACTCGAGCCTAAGTCTTCATGTTTGTGTAGCAAACAATTCGTACCCACTAAGCCATCTTACAAGCCCGACAAATAATCTTTTTTACATGAGGCACCGGGGTTGAATTCAAGGTTTCATGCATGCTAACCATGCATCTTCTACTAAGCCACGCTCTTGTCCTGACAAGTATCCTTTCTGTCTTAGAGTTACTGTTACCCCATAGATCATAGATCACCTGCGTGCGTGCGTGCGTGCGTGCGTGCGTGTGTGTGTGTGTGTGTGTGTGTGTGTGTGTGTGCATAGAGAGGGTATACACACGTGTGCCACTGTGTCAGTGCAGGTGTCAGAGAACATCTTGTAGGACTTGATTCTTTCCATCATGTGGGTTCCAGGGCAAAAAACCTCTTTCCTAAAAATTGTTCACATTGTCTCTGCTTAATGGCCTTCAGTGACAAGAAATTTGTCTCATAAGGTAGCCATCTTCTTCTAAGTTGTGTAAAAGTTTAAGAGACTATCGTGACTTTGTAAGAGTCAAAGGAGGATTGCTTCGTTGTACATTTTCTTGTGTTTAGCTTTCCCTTTCAAGCTTTGTGCCTTTACCTTGGCATCCACAACAGATTCCTGGGGCATTAGAAACAACAGCAGTAGAAAATGATAAACCTCAAGTGTGGCAGACAAGAGCAGCGGCTTTAGGCTGAGGGAGGTGGCACATGCCTTTAATCCCAGCATTCAGCAGGCGGACCTCCATGAGTTCAGTGCCAGCCTAGTCTACATAGTGAGTTTCAGGTGAACAGGGCTACCCAGAAAGACCCTGTTTCAAACAAACAAAAAGATTGTCACCTCCTGAGTTTCAGGAGTGAGGTCAATAAGTCATTAATAACCTTTGACTATCTCAGGTGTCAGCCTCTCAGCTAGCTTGCTGGCCGTCCCATGACCTCAAGTTCAGGCCTAATATATAGTGAAGCAGTGTAGCAGGACAATCTTTTATTTTAATAGCACATCGTTCATAAAGTACCTGGTTCTTAGTTTTATAAGATCTCTTACCAGCAGAAGTCATACACCAATAAGGAAACATGTATTTTTTATGTTCTTTGTAGAATTTTTTTCCCTTTTGCAATCTGGTTCCAATTCTATGTATTTTTGTTTATAGTCTCGTGTGTGTGTGTGTGTGTGTGTGTGTGTGTGTGTAATGTAACTAGAAAAGTAGACATTGAAAGGTGATTTGAGAAATATGTGTATATATATATATATATATACATTTAATTGATGTACCTTTATATTTCTGTGATGTATAATCCACATAAAAACACTGTTGATTCAATTTTTGTCCTTCTCCCTGGGTATAGATTCTCAGTTTGGCATACATAGGTGGATAGACTTGAATTTTGAGTCGAGTCTAGAGAGACTCAGGTTATCTATCTTTTTCTGCAGATACTCCGTGAGCACAAAGCAGTCATCATCCAGAAACGTGTCCGTGGCTGGCTGGCTCGTACACATTATAAGAAGACCATGCAAGCCATCATCTACCTTCAGTGCTGCTTCCGGCGAATGATGGCCAAGCGTGAGCTGAAGAAACTGAAAATTGAGGCTCGCTCTGTGGAACGCTACAAGAAGCTCCACATTGGCATGGAAAACAAGATTATGCAGCTGCAGCGCAAAGTGGACGAGCAGGTGTGTTTTTAAAGGATCCCTAAAGCTAGAGCACAGCAGAAGAGACCCACTGGGTTGTTTCTAGTGGCCTCTCTTCTTGACTTTACCCTGAAGGAAAGGAACAGACAGGAATTTACTTTTTAAAACACCCTGCTCCAGACCTCTGTGATCATGGATCATATTATAATGTGTGCTTGACAGAAGTCTTTCACCACTGCCCCTTATCTGTTTTTCACCTCTCAATGGTTGTTTGGTGCAGCAATCGCAAGAGAAGCAGGAAGATGTACAGGCTTCTGAGGGGCCCAGTCTATTGGCAGAGAGAAAATTCTCTTGCTTAACAGTAGTCACTAAATAGTATTTTAGTACATGCAAATAATATAGAGATAGTTAAGAATATGTAAGAGAGAAGGATAGCAAGGAGAGATGGGTGAAAATGAAATGGGATTCATCAGAAAGGTTTTATGAATTAAATAAGAGGAATTTTAAGATTTTTAGTATACTTTATCATTCTTACTTTTCTTCTACCTAGCTCATGCTTATTTTTTTTTGTACTAGCCCCAAGTTCTGACCTATAGTAGGCAGATACTATCGCTGAGCTAAAATCTCAAGCCTTAAAATAAATGTAGTAGCTTAAATCTGTATTATAGGTATGCAGGAGGCTGAGATGGGAGAACTGCCTCGAATTCAAGGCTACCCTGCGTTACAGTGTGAGATTATGTTTCAAAACAACAAATAAATATAAATTCTTATGTATATGTATATATATATATATATATATATATATATATATATATATATATATACATCTCCATAGTCTTTTTTGTTTTGTTTGTTTTTGTTTTTTGTTTTTTTCAAAACAGGGTTTCTCTGTAGCTTTGGAGCCTGTCTTGGAACTCGCTTTGTAGACCAGGCTGGCTTTGAACTCATCGAGATCTGCCTGTCTCTGCCTCCTGAGTGCTGGGATTAAAGGCATGCCTACAACTGCCCAGTTTTTTCTTTTTTTTTTTTTTCTTTCTTTTTTTTTTTAAAGAGAGGCCCTTATTGAATTACACAGGCTAGCCTTAAAGTTGTAGTCCTCCTGTTTCTGCCCAACAAGTAGCTGGAATTGCACGTTTGTGTTACCACACCCAGGTTTAGTACATGGTTTTTAATATTACTCTAACATAATTTCAAAAGGCAAGTGTCCATTCCCTTATTTTTAATTAATTATTATTTATTTTAATTTTATGTGTATTGATATTTTGCCTGTATGTATGTCTGTGTACCATGTGTGTGTAGTGCCTGTGGAGGTCAGAAGGTCAGATTCCCTGAAACTGGAGTTACAGATGGTTGTGAACCCCTGTGTGGGTGCTGAAAATTGAACCAGATTTGGAAGAACAGCCAGTGCCCTTAACTAGCAAGCCATCTCTCTAGCCCCTTCCCTTACTTCTGGATTAAAAATTAGGAAACTATGGGGCTAGAGGGATGGTTCAGCAATTAAGAGCACTGGCTACTCTTTCGGAAATCCTGAGTTCAATTCCCAGCACCCACATGGAGGCTCACAATCATCTATAGCTATAGTCCCATGGGATCCAATTCCCTCTTCTGGTGTGCAAGTGTATATACAGACAAAACATCTGTATACATAAAGTACATAAATAAATCCTTTTTAAAAATTAGGAACTTAAGAATTTACTGTGAAACCCTATGATTATGAGAAAATCATATCTATGTTGCATATCATATAAAACAGAATTAATTGCTCTGTGCTGTTAACTATTTGTATGATGAAGAAGCCATTGGTTAGGTTATGGAAAGTGCAGAGCAGGTAGAACTAATGCCCATATCCTTAACTACTTACACTAAGTAAATGTGTTGTTACTATGTCCTGGTTCTGATGCTCAATGTTATTGAGGTTTTTTTGTTTGTGGGTTTTTGTTTTTGTTTTTGTTCTTGACACAAGTTTTTACTATTTTTGCTCTGGCTGTACTAGAAATTACTCTTTAGACCAGGCTGGCCTTGAACTCACAGAGGTCCACCTGCCTCTGCCTCCTAATTGCTGGGATTAAAAGGGTGTACCACCATGCCCAGCTCAATGTTGTTTTTAATGCCAGGTATATTATGATCATTTTAGTATAGCAAATTTGGCCAGATCCTATCTCAATGCTGTAATGATGTAACAAGAATTCATAGCTTGAATGGCATGGTATAACATTCCTTTAATCCTAGCAGCTCAGAGGCAGAGACAGAGGCAAGTGGATCTTTATGAGTTTGAGGCAGCCTGGTCTACATAATAAGACCCTGTCTCAAAAAAAAAAAAAAAAAAAGGAATTCATGGCTGGACTTGGTGGTGCACACCTGTAATTTGAGGCAGAGGATCCTGAGTTCTAGGATTTTTGGTTACACAAGTTCTGGAGCAGTTGGACTAAATAGTAAGACCCACTCTCCAAAACAAAGCAAAAGGAAAAACCTAAAGGAATGTAATTAATCAAAGCCTAGAAGAATCTAATCAGTATGATTTTCTTACTGCATACATTTGGCCGTTCATATTGTAAGTGTTTACTTATTGTTATTGATGTTTGTATTTAAAGAATAAAGACTACAAATGCCTCATGGAGAAACTGACCAATCTGGAAGGACTATACAACTCTGAGACTGAAAAACTACGAAACGATGTAGAACGTCTTCATCTAAGTGAGGAGGAAGCTAAGGTTGCCACTGGGCGGGTCCTTAGTCTACAGGAAGAAATTGCCAAACTCCGCAAAGACCTGGAACAAACACGATCAGAGAAAAAATGCATTGAAGAACGAGCAGATAAATACAAACAAGAAACTGAGCAGGTAGGAGTAGTGTTCTTATCCCCATTGCCTTGTGTGCAGAGTAAATGCTGTCATCCTTCCCTAGTCCATGTGACTCTATATTCATTTTAATCAAAGACATAATGTAAATTCCAGAGGGTTTATAGTTCATACTGATGTTTCCCAAACATCTCGGCCCCATAATCAACAAGTGGGCCATAGTCTTGAGGTAGAACATTTAGCTCTAGTAAGAACAGAAACAAAGCAATGTTTCAGCAATGAAATTCATGTCTATGTACTGTCTTAGTTTTCTGTTGCTATAACAAAATGCCTCAGACTAGGTATTTATAAAGGTTAGAGGCTTACATCACCGTATTTCTGGAGGCTAAGAAGTCCAAGAGCATGGTACCAGCATCTGGTGAAGATTTTTTGGTTACATCATAATATCAGGGGATCACATGGCAAGGAAGGACAGGTATGCCACTTTTATAGCGAAACCACTCCCTCAGTAATACATTAATTAATCCATAAATAGGTTACCCCGTTCATAAGGGCACAGTTTTTATAACCCAGTTGTCTCCCTAAGGTCCCACCTGCAGATATTAACAGTGAGTTTAAGGACATTGAGAGAAGACAGTCACATCATAGCATTGATTACAGACTCTTTCAGTGTGAACTTCATGAGATGTAGAATCCTTATTCTTGATAAGGGATGCCATGATTCTGAGGTAGATCAACAGTGAACTATTAGTCCCTGAACTTATATATAGTTCGAATTCCTATGGAGACCTGTGTTAAACTGAGTTAAGTCCAAGTCAGAGAAAGCTAGGCAGGAGCTGCTGAGCAGATGGAACTCCCCAAATGTTCAGTCTCATCCATGCTTCCATGCTATGAATTTAGCCTATGTAAAAACTCGTTGACCATGGGAAATTGCAGGGCTCCCAAGTAATGGTAAAAACGTGTATTTAAACATTTCTAAAAGACCCTTGCAATTGGGCTGCCTGAGAAGTAGTAATTGATTTGAATGAGTCCACAGGGATCACCTTCTGTAGATGAAAACAGCTGAATTGTCAGCGGCAACTGAATAATCCTCACTTGCTTCTTCAATACTGGATTCTGAACATGGATGGCAGCCTCTTCAGGAAGAGCTTAGATGAACTGCAGGCAAAATAGTGCAGCCAGGAAGACTGCTGCCCTATCCTCATGGTGCTCAGGTCCATAGAATTCCCCTGCATCAGAGTGAGGCCCCAACTCCATACACAGACAGGGCAGTGCCACTGGGCAGCATCCTCTGCCATGGCGGGTTTGTTCTTGAATAATTCAAATATGCATTGTAAAGGATGCCCTTGAGCACTTACGATCCCTTTCCTTCCTCAGTCTCTGAAAGCTTTCATGATTCCTCTAGAAAGATGCTTTTTTCTTCTTTTTTCCTTCCTTCCTTCCTTCCTTCCTTCCTTCCTTCCTTCCTTCCTTCCTTCCTTCCTTCCTTCCTTTCTTTCTTTCTTTCCTTCTCTCTGTGTGTTTTGCTGGAGATTGACCTTCTTAAAACCCCATTACCCTCTCAAAAGGAAGGCAAGATCCAAATGTAACACATCTTTGCCTGGATAAAGTAATATTCCACAACACACGGTTCAGTGACTTGGCGCTGCACCCATGTTTATAATTCATTGTAAACATATATGAAATTCTCAGAATAAATAAAACATTTTATTTTTAAAAGAATTCATGGGGTTGGAGAGATGTCTCAGCTGTTAAGTGTGTTGTGTCTCTTGCCCTTCCAGAGGACCAGAGTTTAGTTTCTGGCCTGTACATCTGTAATTCCAGCTCTGTAGGGTCCAGCACTCTCTTCTGGCTGTGGACACATACACACATATGGCATGCACTCACACATACACATAAAACGATTTTAAAGACTCATATCTCTAATCTCTTTAATCTGCCCATTTGAATTGTGGTACTCGAGTGGTACAGTGAGAAGGTGTTTGATGGCTAATCTTAGTTGTCAACTTGACACACTGGAATGAGGGAATCCTAAAGAACGGCCTCTATCAGAATTTACTTGAGCATGTCTGTGGGGTGTTTTCTCCATTGCTAATTGGTGTGGGAGGACCCAGCCCACTGTGATTGGTGCCATCCCTAGGCATGTGGGCCTGGGCTGTATAAGAAAGATAGCTGAGCACGAGCCTAGGAGCAAGAAACTGTGGTTTCTTCTTCAAACTCCTGCCTTGGCTTCCCCTGATGATGGACTGTGACCTGGGCATGTAAGATGAAATAAACCCTTTCCTCTCCACGTTGCTTTTAATCAGAGTGTTCTATCACAGCAATAGAAATCAAAATAGAGCAAGGTGATATCATTACTTTGGGAACAGATGTCTTGTAGATGCTAGCCAGATGCTAAGTGTGCATAGTACAGAGTAAAACAGCTACCATCACAGTCCTTTCCCCCAGCATATGTCTAGTCTATTGGAGAAGGCAAAAAAGTAGACCATTCATGTGGACTGTAAAGAGGCAAACACAGGGCTTTGCAACAACTCAGAGAAAAGGTATCTAATGGAGATGGTTTTCAAGAAGTTTCTTGGAGGGAGTAAATTTGGGACAAGTATGACAGGTGACAAGACGTAACTAGGTGAAGACAGGAGGCATGGACAGTGACTGTGGTGTGGGACATCTCGGTCCACTATGACATCTCAGTTTGGTGTTTCATTTTATAGCTGGTGTCAAATTTGAAGGAAGAAAATACTTTGCTGAAACAGGAAAAGGAGACCCTCAATCACCTCATCGTGGAGCAGGCTAAGGAGATGACAGGTAAGGTTTGTGTGGGTTCAACCTAGCAAACAACAACCAATTTCAAACCTAAGTTTTAAAAGTTTGACATTATGTTACCAGTTACACAGTATTACTTAGAGCTGAAATTTTTTTTAAAGTTTTGGCTGTCATCTACATTACAAGCAAGAGTCCCAAATATTTTAGTAAAATTAGTGAACTTACGAAATTGATCTCTGTTCTCTATGTACTAATGTGAAGTTATTCAGTAATATCATATGTAGCTTTTAAAAGTTTGCTTTATATGTATTAGTTTTAACTTACAGAATTCTTACTGATTTAATAAGAATCCTTGAGCTAATTTGTGGTCTACGTAGATGTGTGTGTGTGTGTGTGTAAAAGAACACACACACACACACACACACACACACACACACACACTTTCATTTGTTTCTTTGAGTCAAAACTGGCTTTGAACTTGACGTCTTCCTGCCTCACCCTTCCAAATGTGCCTCTATCCCTGGCTATTCACATATTTTAAAACTGATGTAATTGTAAATATTTGTAGGAATAGTACAATAATTTGGAATATGTGTAATGATCAAATCAAGGTAGCCAACATTTTCATCTCTTCAGAATCTGTCATTTGTGCTTATGGGGAACCTTCCCACTCTCCTACCCAGCTGTGCTTTGGAACCTTTATCTAACTTCTCTCCAACCCCCTCTTCTGGCTTTGACCATTTTTTCTATAACTCTTTTCAATCAGATCAATTCTTTAAAAACATCTTTATTGATTGAGAACATATACTATTTGTCTTTCTGGGCCTCACTTATTTTTTAATTTATATTTTACTAAAACAGTGGGTGTCGTCCTATTAAGTTCAACTCCTTTTGCTACCAAACTAAAAATGAAAAGTAATTTTTAAGATAAAGAACTAAGTAGATATGCACGTTTATTCTATTTATTAATTGTGGGGTTGATTAAAATGGTCCATCAGATTGGCCTATGGGCATGTCTCTTGTGGAACATTCTCTTGACTTCTAACTGATGTTGGAGGGCCCAGCCCACTGTGGGTGGTACCATCCCTAGGCAGATGGGTGCAGACTAAACAAAGGGAGCAGAATGTGAGCCTGAAAGTAAGCCAGTAAGCAGCATTTGCCCATAGTTCTGCTTCAGTTCCTACCTCTAAGTTCCTGCTTCAGCTCCTGCCCTGGTTTGCCTCAAAGATGGACTGTAACTTGTTAGCTAAATAAAACCCTTTCCTCTCCAAATAGGTTCTAGTCAGTGTTTTATCACAGTAACAAAGGGAGGCATCCTGAAAGCAATCCAGAATAAAGATTAGAGAGGTAGGAAGGAAAGAGCCAAAAGTTTTCCCTTATGACCATGGTACTTTTCCTCACATGGTCTCTTCCCTCCAATTAAAGATGATGTAGAGGAACAAGAAGCGTCCTGGAATTAATAATCTTAACTAAAACATAAGGTGAAGACAAGAAGCCAGAAGAAAATGTTAAAAGGGGCAAAACAAAATAGTCTAGAAAGCAGGCTTCCAGGATGCAGATGGTCAGGGAAGGGTCCAGAGTGATGGGAACATTTCTAAGGGAATATACAGTGTTTTTAAAATCGACTATAGGAATGAAGAAGTAAGAATGGATTTGTCTTGAAATTTTTGTTGGAAGACTTGGACTAGCTTACACAAACTGGTGGGAATAAAGGATAATTTATAGAACATCTTAGGAAAATTTTCTCATTTATTAATTCATAATTTATGGAATCCCTCCCCTAGGAAAACATTGTGGAAGGCATCAAGAAAATAGTAGTCACGAGGCTCTTGCATCCCTTGACTCTTGGAGCTGGCAGAGAATTAAATGATAGAGCAATAGAAGCAGCTAGGGCAGTTTGAAACTAACCCACAAATACAAGAATACAAAGAGCATATTGGTAGGAAACCAATTCTATTATAAAAGTAATTGGTTGAGTCACTGGGTTACAATGTATACCTTCTTTTAAGAAGTATTTTTTAACTTACTTTAATCTTATGTGTATGGGTGTTTTGTCTACATTTATATCTGTGTATCATGTGTATGTCTGGTGACTGTGGAGGTCGGAAGAGGGAGCTGGATCCCAAAGAACTGAAGTTACAGATTGTAAGCCACCATGTGGGTCCTTGGAATTAAACCTAGGTCCTCTAGAAGAGCAGCCAATACTCTTGACTACTGAGCCTCCACGCACAGCTGCTTAATTTTTTATTACCTGTAGTCAGTGGCTAATCTCTGAACTCCAGACCATGTCCAGCCAAGAGCAAGCTACTGGCAGGAAAGGCAGTGAGGTGGGGAACTGGAAAAGTCAGGGCTCCTTAAGCAGCACGTGAGAGATGGCAAAGAAATAATAGCACCATCAGCAGAGCCTAAGCAGTCATCTAGTTAGAAATGGAGGGGTAATAGGATGGCAGGGCTTCAGTGTGCTATGAGATTATATGATAGAACACGGGACTGAGACACACAGACAAATAAGAGTAGGAGGGCAAGTCCCTTAAAGTCACCATTCTCTTGAAGAATGACTTTTTGAATCATTATTTAGCCAAAATAACTTATGAATATCAGAATTTATTAATAAGATGGCTCATTTCCAGGCCTAAGGACCTAAATTCAATCCCTGGGCCACATGGTGAATGAAGAAAATTGATTCCCATAAGTAGTTGTCTTCTGGCCTCCACATGTATGCTGTGACATGCACACACACACACAAATTTTTTATTGGATTTTATGAATATCCTAAAACAATACTATTGGAATAAAAATATATGTGCCAATACTTACATGAATAACCTAAGAGAATACTATGTAAATGTATCTATGTGTATATACATATACATATATTAGTTTATTTGTTATTGCTTACTAGACTAGTACGTAGTGGAAGTTTATCCAGAAGTTCTTGTAATCTGGGTGTAGTGGTGCACACCCATAGTCCCAGCACTGAGGAAATTGAAGCAGGATGGACTGTATAGCCATGCATGTATGCTATGCAGTCATGCCAGGTTAGGCAGGGCTACATAGCAAGACTGTCTCAAAAAAACAAGCAAATAGGAATGTGTTGTAATCAGTGCATGGACTTGTGGGACCAAAGCTAATAGTACGTGGAGAGTTCCATAGATGAGAGCTGTCATTTGTAAGAGATTTAATTTAGGTTATTAACGCTTCTTTCTCTTCCTGCCTTCACCAAACTCTCTCACGGGGCTAAAAGTTCAATTCCACTAAGAGAAACTGGAAGTCAGCATACCTGTTTACATTCTTGAATTCTATGGAGTCACCTATGTATACATATCCCCCTTCCAGTTTTGAGGGGAGATTGTTTTTTTTTCTGTTTAGTTCTGAGAAGGTTTATTATAATGTAGAACAGATTCCTAGGCAATGCTTCATTCTAGGTTGAGTAAGGATGCAATGATGGAATCTAGATGATAAATAAGAATGAAATTGCCATCGTCTCTGGCACAAGGAACAGCTTTTTGTTGTTTTGTTTGTTTGTTTGTTGTTTGTTTTGTTTTTTAACTAATTTCTTAATCTCACCTCTGGCCAGGGGCCCTTTCCAGGGGTATTTGCTTTTAGCCCCTGAGTTTCTTCTGTTATCCTTTGGCTTCTGATGGAAGGCCTAGCTTCCTCATCTGTCTCTTTGGGCTGCTTCAAGGGCTTTTTCTTGCCACCTCTGTGGCCTGACATGTCACCTGTCACCCTTTATCCAGGCCCTACCCTTTATGTCCTCTTGTTTATTTCAGAAACTATGGAGAAGAAATTAGTAGAAGAGACAAAACAGCTGGAGATTGACCTGAATGATGAAAGGCTGAGGTATCAGAACCTTCTGAACGAGTTCAGTCGTCTGGAGGAGCGCTATGATGACCTCAAGGAGGAGATGACCCTGATGCTGGTGAGTCCAACACTTGTTTTTTTTTTAAAAAGAGTCTGTCTGTGTAACCCAGGCTAGCCTTAGGCCATGATCCTTCTATTTTCTACCTCCTGGGGATTATAGGCATGGTCCGTCATACCTGGCATCTACTTTTTTTTTTAAGATGAGAATATTTAGTCATATATAAAAGTAAGTAGAATCATAGAGTGAACCTCAATATATCTATCACCCAGTTCCCCAATAATAAATGTATCTCTGTTTTCTCCTATTCACCACCTTCCCCACTTCATGGATTATATTATTTAAAGTAAATCACAGAAATCATGCAGTTTTATCCATAAATACTTCAGGAAAGTCAGATACTTAAAGATGGGGCTATAAAATAGTATAAAATCAGATTATCATGACTGTGCTTCCTACATTAAATGACAATGTAAATTTTGTATATTTATATTATTTTTATATAACTATTTTCTTCACTGGAGCTTATACTTTCCAAGTTAAATTTCCATACAGAGAAAACCAGGCTCTGTTTATAATAACTTATGTTAGCAGTGTCCAGGGCTCTTCTGTCCTTGCCAGTGCACTCTCCACACGTGAGCTGTCCTACTCATTGTCAGGAAACTGATTTCTCCGGCTCTCTTGTTCCTGAAAGTAACCTAATGGTACATGTGGCTAGAATGCTCTGAAATAGATCTTGTAAAAAGCAAACTAAGTTGGTGCCTGTAGGAAAGAATATTTACTTCAAATTTTGTTGATAGAAAGATCTGCTTGGCAGAGATCTTTAAAACATAACATAAAACTAATGTTCGCAAGGCTCACAGACGAGAAAGCCTGGTGTAAGGGAAGTTGGAAAGCACATTTAAATCCCATAGTAGATGATTGCCCTACACTCTACCAATCTGCAAGGATTACTAACCTACAAGGAGCCGTTTACAGTAGGAGTAGGTCACTATGATCCGTGATTGGCAGATCGGAAGAACCTTGACTGAGCCTTGGCTTCCTTGGCTTCCAGGTTGGTAGGTCCTCTCGAACTTCCCCTCCTTCATATTCTGTCCCCTTCAGCTTTCCCAGCATCTGGTTCCTCTCTCTTGGTGCTCTTGGTCCCCACAGTTCTATTCTTTGGTGTATTTTTATTTACTCTATGTATTAGACAACAGTACCAATCTTTACATTTAATCTGTGTTTCAGTTATACTTAGGACTAAGTTCTGGATCTTACTGGATACTTTGGAGGCCACTGGTTACTTAGAAAACTCCTGAGTAACAGTGGAAACAAAATGATTCTTTGAGTCTTTTCTATGCATTAGGTACAGTAGACTGTACAATTTGCTTCTTCATTCCCTATGAGTTTTCTAAACACTGATTGATATGGTATCTGTGCCTAAAAGTATCTTCCAGATCTCCCGAATCATCGTGGTCATGATTCAGGGGTCTTCGGTGAATTCTACAAGCACCAAGCTTACCTGCCCTGCACTAATTCTCACTGCTTACTCCACAGACGGATGTCATGTGTAAAGTGATAGACATTAGCGTCACCTATATAACTCCTACTTATTTTCAACCACGTATACTTAACTACCATGTAATGACTGGTTATGTCTGTCAGTCAGTGTAATTTATAAACTTTCTTGTAACTTTTATTTTATCACAACACAAAGAATTACTTGAACAGAGTGACTGAATAACTCAAAACTTTAGGGGAAAAAAAAACCAAAAAACAACAACAAAAAAAAAAACAAACAACAACAAAAAAGAGAGAGCCTTGAAGAAGGCCTGTTGATAGAGTCCTTGCTTAGCATGGATCTAAAGGCCTGTGTACCCTTCTCAGAACTCATAAATAGAGTGTAGTAGCTCTTGCCTGTAAACCCAGTACTCAGAAGGTGGAGGCAGGAGGATCAGAAATTCAAAGTCATCTTTAGCTACAGAGTGAGTTCAAAGCTAAACTGTTGTAAGTGAGACCCTGGGGCTCTGCCAATAGTCTACATTTGGCCGTGTGGTTCCTTAACAGTTCTTACCATGCTGGCACGCCTTTCTCACTGTGGAGATCACCCGCTTATAAGAACTTGGTCAAACCAAGATGGAACCCTTGAACATTTGGCCATCAGTGCAAATTACTGAGTGGAGATTGTAATGAAGACATTGTGGATGCTGTTTCCACTGTGCATTGTTCCGTTATGTTAAATGAATTGTCTTTGGGTTATTATTTACCTCACAGAATGTGCCTAAGCCAGGACACAAGAGAACAGACTCTACCCACAGCAGCAATGAGTCTGAATACACCTTCAGCTCTGAATTTGCAGAAACTGAAGACATTGCACCAAGGACAGAGGTACATTTATCTATCACTAGAAGAAAGATGTGCTTGCTTCTGTTGATAGGCAACATTTCTAATAATTGGCTTATGTATTCTTAATCATTTGTATATATGCATACCTATTGCACATGTTTTTGCCAATACATGTACTAGTTTTTGTTTGTTTGGGTGGTAGGATTGAACTAAGAACTCTGTATGTGACAAGCGTGTGCTCTATCACTGAGCAGTATCCCCAGTCCCACAGTATACATTTAAATGGAAGCCTTATAGCAGTAGTTTCTTTGCCGTCTCTGTCACGGTGGGACCCAGGCAGTTTCTGCAGAGAACTCAGCTGCTGGCTGCATTTGCCCTGGAGTCCTCACAGTGTCTGAGGCTGCTGTGTGCTGGTTTGAAACCATTGCTTTTCCATGCTGCTATAGGCTGTTGGAGTCCTGCTTTATCCCTGAGCTTCCTCACAGCTTCCCAGCTGGGGAAAGGACCACTATGACTTGTTCAGCTGTGGTAGGATAATTTCAAAATTAAATTGAAACCAGTGGTGGTAATTTTATTAATGAATTCTATTACCTTGTCTTCAGTTGTGAGACTATTTTAAGGTCAATACCAAAGTTTCACTCACTCAGTAAAGGCTTGGGTGACAAAGTCCTTACTAAAAAAAGGGAAGGAAATAAGGCCCCACAGCTCCTCTCCTCCAGATGGCCCACTCTTCCTCCTTTCCTGTGTGATCAGAGAAGTCAAATGACCTTGCTAGAAATAGAGATGCCACTGGGACTAAGGACACATCTAGCACTCCTTAGTGACTACCATTCACACACCTCAAGTTGTTTTGTGTTTTGGCAAGTGTTACCTTCGGTGCCCCTGCCTTTTCCTGTTCTCTTACTCCTAGCTGTAGAATTTCGTTCTCACCTAGCAATCAATGGATTCTGCATGTAGCATTAACTGAGAGCTGAGAAGTTACCCAATCCTATTTTAATATGATTCCTTTTTACAGGCCCAAAGCCCAAAGGAATAATTTCCAGTTAATAACATTTTACATGTTGCGAGTGAAGTACTCTGTTTGTTTATAGAATGGAGGATCCTGTTACAGTGGTTTGAAAGTTAAAGTTTCAGGAACATATGCATCACTAATAAATGAACAGATATTAAGATATTTAAATGGAACATTTAAATACTTGTAGGTGTTTTTGGTGGGCCAACACAACAGCTCAGTGGGTAAAGTACTCAGTGTAAAGCCTGCTGACCTGAGTTCAAGCCCCAGAACTTATTCTGGAAGGAGAGAACCAACTCCTGCAAGTTGTCTGTGACCTCCATACACGCACCACTTACCTTAGGAAAAGCCAAAGAATAAAATTTAAGACAGCATTGAAATGCCACCTTTGGGCAATCACCTGAGGTGAAAACGTTTCTTTGTTGAGTTACAGCAGTGACCGTTGTCCCAGGAATGATGTGGTTGTTGATGTAAGTAGAAGTTGCCCCAGCCCACCAGACTGCCAAGGGTTGTATTCAGATATTTGTGTTCTTGGATGTGTATTTGAGAAATTAGAAACCATCTCATTGCCCACCAGGAAGACGATGCCTAAACTGGTGGTTCACCTGGCAGTTAGACAGATAACTGGAAAACAACTACAGCAAGCACTTGTGCTTCTGAGTCATCTCCCTGCTGTGTAGTCTTAATTCTTAAACAGATGTGCTAGGGTCGATATCATACACATCTACAGCTGTAATACATGCACGCAGATTTCCACAGGCTTGTTCGTATTCCACCAATATAATAGGGGACACAGTTGGCTAATATGGGACATTATTAACTTTGAAATGCCACCTGTGGGCTATTTGCCAGTCAGGTAAGAGAGAAGTAATCCCTTACTTTTGTAAGGAATCATTAGCAAGGATGAACATGTTTTTTGTTTCGTTCTACATTTCTTTTGTGAGTCTGACTGTTTTCCTATTGAATTGTTTTCACCGTTCTCTCTTTGGCTCAAGCTTTACTTGATTCTTACGATTTCCGGGTTTTAGGAGCCAAGTGAGAAGAAGGTGCCCCTGGACATGTCATTGTTCCTTAAGCTCCAGAAGCGCGTCACGGAGCTGGAACAGGAGAAGCAGATACTGCAGGATGAGCTGGACAGAAAGGAGGAGCAGGTGTTCCGCAGCAAGGCGAAGGTGAGCAGCAGGGAGGGAGGCAGGGCCGCCCATTCTGTAGTCCCGGAGTCCTGAGCTGGGCGGCACTCACTCGAGCTTCGAAGGCTTTGACAGTTCACTGCCCTTTGTACAGCAGCTAATGTCCTAATAGTAAAGCCTTGACAATTAAAATACAAAGATTTTATTTTTATTTTTCTCCCCAGGAGGAAGAAAGACCACCAATTAGAGGTGCGGAACTGGAATATGAGTCCCTCAAGGTATTGAAAATTTCAGCCCAAAACTTTGTATACTTTGTTTTGACAAGAGAGCTACTAAGAACTTGTCTTTTTCTCTGAGAAAATCCTTAGCTGAAGGTTCTAGCTTCTCTTATCTGGGCACTAGTTCTAGCCTGTGTTGTTTCTTTTCACAAACTCTGTTTCATCTAAGTAGGACTTCACTGTGAACAGGAACAGGAGGTAGCAGCCCCTCGAGCTACAGTTGTAAAGATTATGAACTCTAGAACCAGACTACTTGGTTAAGTGCTCCCTCCCATCTGTTCCCATAAACGTCTAATTGACGCTGAGGGGGCAGATAAAGGCATAGGGTAGCAGTGTGCTCTCCAAAACATCCCCTGCCTCACAGAAACATAGATAAGTGAAAGTGTTTTCTGAGTATGAGTGAAGCCCAGATTCGTTCTGTATTGAGTGAGTGGTTCTCAAAGTTCACCCCTATATCATCATGGTCACCTAGTTCCTTGTTGGAAATGCAAAATTCTCAGGCCTCACACCACTAGACATAAAGTCAGAATCCTGTAATTGGGGCTTAGAAATATGTGTTTCAACAGGAACTCCAAGTGGCTGTGATGCATGTTAAAGTTGGGGACACATTGTATCAGAGTCTCAGCACCGAAGTAAAGACATTGCCTTGTTTTCTGTCCCTGAAATGAACAATGCAAAACTGATTACTAATTAGTAGATTGAGAGAGATCCCTGCTGAGATTTCCAGAAGTCTGCCCAGATGACCCAGTCATTGGGAATATCCTGACCAGCTGATGCTTGGTTTTGCCCTTACATTTACCTGCAAACAAAGCCTGGGCTTCCTGGGATTGGGACTCAGCAGTTTGCATCTGGGAGTATTCCCTGAGCAGATCAGAGTCAGTTTGCCCTGGAATTGGAATTGGTGATGCAAACTATCCTTTACATTGCTCAGTCCCACTGATGTCACACTTACTTAAGAGTGGAGACTGATGTCCTTTCTAGTAGAATTCTTCCGTCACTTAGGCGAGGTTCAGTTTTCCAATGTAAAGATGAGAGTGAAGCAGTCAATGTCTTAGTCAGTGTTCTGTTGCTGTGAAGAGACACCATGGCCACAGCAACTCTTATAAAGGAAAACACTAATTGGGGCTGGCTTACAGTACAGAGGGTTAGTCCATTGTCATCATGGTGGGAAGGATGGTACACACAGGCAGACATGGTTCTGGAGAGGTAGCTGAGAGTTCTACATCCAAATCTGAAGGCAGCAGGAAAAGATTATGACACACTGACTGGGCTTGAGTGTCTGAGACCTCTAAGCCCACCCCTAGTGACACACTTCCTCTAACAAGGCCACTCCTACTCCATCACGGCCATACCTCCCAATAGTGGCCGTCCCTGTGAGCCTGTGGGGCCACTTTCATTCAAACTGCCACAGTAAATCTGTCTATCTTTTCGTTCAGCGTCAAGAACTGGAATCAGAAAACAAAAAACTGAAAAATGAGCTGAACGAGCTACGCAAAGCCCTCAGTGAGAAAAGTGCCCCCGAAGTGACTGCACCAGGTGCCCCTGCCTACCGTGTCCTCATGGAACAGCTGACCTCCGTGAGCGAGGAGCTCGATGTTCGCAAGGAGGAAGTCCTCATCTTGCGCTCTCAGCTGGTGAGCCAGAAAGAAGCCATCCAACCCAAAGTAAGCTGATGTGTACATGTTGAGTGTGAAGCGTGGTGACTGGCTTTCACTTCTCCTTACGTTTTTCCCCCAGTTTGTAATGAGAAGGGCAGCTGCAAAAGCCACTGGCTTCCCAGGTGTCTTTCAAAGTTTTATTTCTCATAATCAAAGGATTTCTTTTAAAATACTTTTGTAGTAATCTTGCCTCAGTATATTCTGAACTAAAGTAAAATACATCGAATATGAAAATCTACAAATTATTTTGGTATAAAGAGGCATTAAGTCTAACTAAAATTACTTGTTGGAATTGGCCTACATAAGTGTAAATGTAACAAAATGGTTAGAAATGAAATCAGTTCATGGAGATTACATGGAGATGATTCCTGTTCACTCCCAGGAGCTCCCTTTACTAGGGAGTAGGTAGGAAGGGCTGTGTTCATGGAGTCAGCAGAAAGCGGTCTACACTGTCCTTTCCTGGTTCAGTCTCATCTGGTTCCAAGACTTGAACAGGCTGGCCTTGAAAAAGAAAGCCCTGTAGCCTCCTGGGCAAAGACTAAATCAGTATTCTCTCCTCTCTCAGCAAACTGATAGTCTCTCTTTTTCTTTCTAAATTTATGAATAGTTGTATATATTTGTGGAGTACAGTGGATATTCTCATAGGAAGCTTTAGTGAAAATTAAGAGATTGGAAAATAAAAATAAAGCGCAGGGCATAAATACAACCTCACTCGTAGAGCACATAGTTTGGTTCCATACCTGCCCACTCACTAAGTTCACGTAGCCCATGTGACAGCTGTCGTACGATAATGAGATGGCCCTGTCTCAACACAATCCTTGCTTGCCCAGCCCCGGCCTCCAGGTAACACACCTTGCCTGTTCTGGAGGTGTGCAGTGTACTGACACCTTCTGAGCACCTTTGTCTATTTGTCATCCTGAGTTGCTCAGTTTCTTCTTTTCAAGGCAGTGGTGAACAATAGTGAACACATAGTGAGCTAGGGTGTGAGTTAGCACAGCCAGCACTGGTTTGTCTGTTCTCCCTTCAGAGAGCTCTGGGAGGCTTTCCTGGACAATTGCCCTCCCAATGCCCACTGCTTGAACTCTTCAAAGACTTAGTATGAAATCTCACCCAGATATATCAACAGCAGAGTCATTCTTTCATACACACACACATTTTACAACCAGGAATATTTTAAAACAAAACAACTCAGAAAATAACTTAAGCATTAGAAATAGCAGTTCCAGCTGGGCAGTGGTGGCGCATGCCTTTAATCCCAGCACTCGGGAGGCAGAGGCAGGTGGATCTCTGTGAGTTCGAGGACAGCCTGTCTACAGAGCGAGTTCCAGGACAGCCAGGACTATACAAAGAGAAACCCTGTCTCAAAAAACCAAAAAGAAAATAGGAGTCCCTATCTCATACATATATATTAATGTCTACCTTCTGACAGTTTTGTGAATGCTAATGCATTTAGAGTTAGTTTTAGAAGAAACAAGTCCTAGCTTTTAATGAACTCTTGTCTGGATTCAGTGAATGTATGTATCTATCTGTTCATGAAGCTAAAGATTTATTGTTTTCTGCATTTTTGTGCTTGCCAACATGTGATTTTTCAGGATGACAAGGTAATTATACATATTTTTAATATTTAATAAGTACTTCTGTTTAATCCTAACATTGCCTTGCAGGTCTCCTCGGTTAATGTTAATGGTGCTTTGTGACCAGGTCTATTTTATTTTGTACTGTTTTCTAAGATGGATTGATTTGTTGTTTGCGTTTATGTGAGTATGTGGAAATGGATGCCACAAGAGGGCATTGTGTGCCCTCCTCCATCACTCTCCATCTGTTCCTTTGAGGTAGAGATGGCTTTTATTTCCTCACCTCAGCTAGAAGCCAGGAAGCCCAGCAGGGCCCTGGCTCCACCCCTCAGAACTTGGCATATAGACATATGTGGAATGTGTAGCTATTGCATGGGTGTGAGATCTGAACTCTCTTAAGTGCCGCTACATCTCTCTAGCCCTCTACCTTTTTTGCCTTAGGAGCTCATAGAGCCCAGGTTGGCCTCAAACTCACTGTATAGTTGAAGATGTTATCCTGCCTCCTCCTCCTGAGTGCTCTGAGTACAGTGTAAGCTGCCATGCCCTGCTTCTTTCTTACTGACTAATTTCCTGTATGACTTCTCACTCACAGTCACCTCTGTGACTCACAAGTGTAGCTCTGGGGTCATGCAGAAGTTGGGAGAAATACCCTTTACTTAGAGAACTCTTAAATGGACAGTTCTCCCAGGCACACATTCATACCGAAGCAAACAAGGTAGAGGAGAAATGGAAGAGCTGAGCAGGTCTTCTTTACTGCCACGTTCCCTCCCTAAGGGCAAAGCCCGTAGCTAGAGTAAAAAGCAGCTCCTGTGAAGTTGCAGTTGAATTTCTCTACTCATCTTGTAGTCAACTGTTGAGCGATAATAGGATGCTTCATATATGATACAGCCTTTTCAGAACTTCACATGGGAACTACGTAGAACAGTGGGGCAAAAGCTTCTTGGTGCTGCAATACAGATCTGACCGTGTCTCCCAAATACTATACCCAAGGAACCAGCTGCTCGTTCCCCAGGACCCCAGCAAATGGAGACCCCATCTTCCCCTGTCTTCATACTAGCTGAATAGATCAAGTAACCTAATTTATTAGATGTTGAAAAACACCCCAGAAAAGTCCTAAGATATTCAAATACAATGTATCATTATTTGATTAAAAAAAAAACTTGAGTCATTATGAATCATATTTATAGGTCTTAAAAATGAGAATATCAAATAGATTTTTATCAAATAATTTTTTTCCTTCAGGGAAAAAATTAAACTAGCTGAAATATACTAAATATATACACTTTATAAAATAAAGCTAAAGAAATATTTATTTGGGGCCAGGGATGTAGTTCAACTGGTAAAGTGCTTACCTAGCATGCACAAAGCCCTGGGTTAGAGCTGCAGCATTCTATAAGCTGGGCTGGTTCAGTGGTGCACACCTATGATCCGGGTACTGAGGAAGATGAGGCAAGGAGACCAGAAGTTCAAGAGTCTGAGGATGGCCTGGGCATGAGCCACTGTGGCGATATCGTGTGTACCTAATAAACTTACCTGAGGGTCAGAGGACAGAGCCAGCCATCAGATTAGACAGAGGTCAGGCAGTGGTGCACACGCCCTTAATCCTATCACTCTGGGAGGCAGAAATCCGCCTGGATCTCTGTGAGTTCAAGGTCACACCGGAAACAGAGCCAGGCAGTGGTGGTACACACTTTTAATCCCAGTACTGGGAAAGCACACAGGCCTTTAATCTCAGGAAGTGATGTCTGGGTAGAGGAAGGTGTATAAGGTGTGAGGAAACAGAACCCACTCTCTTTAGGCTGAGGATTTTGTAGCAGTAAGAACTAGTGGCTGGCTGTTCTGCCTCTCTGTTCCTTCAGCTTTCACCCTGATATCTGGCTCCAGGTTGTTTATTAAAAGACCATCTAGGAGTCGAACAACAAGCCACTTAGAACAAAAATGGAAAGATTAGACATGTTTCTTAGACAAAGAGAATGAACCTTTAAGGGTGCTAAAGTTGTTTTTCTTTAGAGACAATAAATTAGTAATTTTATTTAATGTTTTTGGTTTGTGTGTATATGTGTGCACGTACCAGAGAGAGAGTGCATGTGTCTGTATAAGCAAACACATGAATGTCAGATGATAATTTATGGGAGTAGATTCTTTCCACTGTATGGATTCTAGAGACTGAACCCAGGTCATGAGGCTAGGTGGCAAGTGCCCTTACCCACTAAGGCCTGAAATGAAAAGAATGTGTTATATGTATCCCCAGCTACTGAGTTGATCCTTCATGTGGAAATGTGTCATTTCTCCCTTCAGAACACCATGACAGATTCCACAATACTTTTGGAAGATGTACAGAAAATGAAAGACAAAGGTGAAATAGCACAAGCATATATTGGTTTGAAAGAAACCAACAGGTAAGTGGATCCTTTCATCCGCCTTGGTTTAACTGTGTGAATCTGAGTCTTCGAGGCAACCTCTTATTCAGGAAGTCAGTGTGCTGACTCATGGCTTTATTAGACATCAGCCAGTCTTCAGGAAGAACCTAAGGTTTCTGGTGTAAACCACCTTAAAATTCCATTCAAAATATCAGATAATTGTTGATGATTGGTGTCCAAGGAAATGTTATTCACATTATAGGAAGATATTTATGTCAAGGGCCACTGCTCAGTTTAGGCTGTCCTAGGTAGATCCTTTCATAGTAAGGGTGTTGTTCAAAATGGCCATTTGAAGGTTTGTAGAGGCAACTGCAGTGTTCAATAATTGAAATGTAGCATGAAGAGAAGTGAAGATGTATGTGCCTGGAATTCCATCAGTGGTAGCCATATAGCTCTAGAAGGGTGCCACAACTTTGAAGATGGGAGAATAGAGACTCATACCTTCAATTTTTAGCCTTACTGCCAACCTTATTTCTGAATAGAGATTTAGTGCCATTGTACTCTAAACAGAAAAAAATTACACACTGGACCATTTTGAGGGAGCATGGCCTGTAGTGACCTAGTATCCTATCTTGATAACACAGCTCCAGGATTAACATACATAAATACCCACAAATTAAATATATATATACCTTACAAAACATAAGATAGTTCTTTATTTACAGGCAAAGGTACAGAGGTACATTTTTAAAGGTACTTGGTTAAATGTAAATTTAATGAATTAATTATAAACTTTTATATTTAAGATTATCTTACTAGCCTGGCTGTTGTTGTGGTATATGCTTTTAATCCGAGAACTCAGGAGGCAGAGACAGTCAGATCTATGTAAGTTCAAAGCCAGCCTGGTCTACATAGTGAGTTCCAGGCCAGCCAGGGCTACACAGAGAAATCTTGTCTCAAACAAAACAAAACAAAAAGAACATCTTATAGAAAGGGTAGTAGTATGCTGTCCATCCATCCACTCACCTGCTCCATCACCAGGTCTGAAATGTGCCTACCTCATGCCAGACACTAGGCCACATCGTGGGAGTCTAGCAGAAGACAGACAGACACAGTTCCTTCTCACAGAGGTTACAGGCTCCTTAGAGAAACGACTGAGAATGGTTGAGTTCTAGTCTAGAGATATTAGAAAGAATCGTTTTAAATAGAGGAATGATTGTAATGGAGCAAGATTGAAAGCACAATAGCAGTTAAGAGGCTTTGCCATAATCCACTGACTGGTCATGGCAGCGCCAGCTTGGGTGGTGACATTTGGGATGAAAGCAGTGGGAATTTTTGAAAGATGTGTATGAAGATGAAGTCAAGAAACCTTGTGGTCTGTTGGGTGTGTGAGAGGGTTCTAGAGAAGCTTGCAGTTTCTGCTGTGGGGACCCAGATAGATGTGCTGATGCCATTTCATGATCGTGAGACCACGGTGGAGTGATGAATGGATTCACACATACTGAATTTTAGCAGACAAGAAGGCATTCAGGGAGAGAAAGCCCACTAGGCAGTTGAGTTATATATAATACCAATACACATGGCCTGAGATATAAATTTTGAAGTCATAAGAATATAATAATATAATTGAAACCTCTGAAATAAATAACTCTTGAGAGAGAGAGAGAGAGAGAGAGAGAGAGAGAGAGAGAGAGAGAGAGAGAGAGAGAGATGGTAGATTGAAAATAGAATTCATTCAAATTCATGTTATGTAAACGTAGTAACAAAAGTATGTCAAGATTAAGAACCTGGACTCTCAAATCACATGGCACTGGACTCAGATACTTCCTTACCATCTATTAATACAACATGGGTGACAGGGAGAACAGATAAGGTAGTGAAAGAATGAAGAACAGCATCTGACATTTAGTAAATCCTCAAAATCTGTTTATACACTAGGTAGAGAAAACTGTTACTAAATAAATGTTGTCGATAAACCCCACTATTTTAATAAGAGGTGATAGATACACCTCCGAAATAAAGGCAGTTTCTCCAGATCTTAAATTTAATTTTATCCAAAAATTTAAAACTACGTCAAGGGGCTGGAGAGATGGCTCAGTGGTTAAGAGCATCAGCAGCTCTTCCAGAGGTTCTGAATTCAATTCCCTGCAACCACAAGGTGGCTCATAACCATCTGTAATAGGATCTGATGCCCTCTTCTGGCGTGCAGGTGTATATGCAAATAGAGCACCATATAAATTAAATAAATAAATTTTTTTAAAAACATATCAAAAGCTGAGAACTTTGGACATTGTCTGATGTTATTTGTACAATAATTTTTGTAAAAGTTTACATGGGAAATCAGATTATGCTGAAATAAATTCCTATCAAGAAAACTGAAATTGTCATTTTGAAATAGATTATGAAAATTGCCATAGAGTTTGTCTTTTCATACATGTGTAATGGTTAGCCTCAATGTAATGCTTGATGTGCAAGGTCATCTGGTTAGCCGCATAAGACATTAGAAATTGAATGTCTCACTTTCCAGTCATTTCTTTTCATTTCTTCATTTATCTGTGATGCAACTTCTTACCCATTTCTTTTTAATTAACCAAGGTAATTTTGTGATTATGTAGAGTCATTGTATACTAAAAACGGTCCTCTCCACTTAGTAAAATGCTGGAATGTCACATGCTTTTCTTGACCACCATCGTCTCACTCCCATCCCGTGTCCCTTTGTGTTTTGCATTGTGTTCCTTTCCATGGAAGATCATCTGCTCTGGATTACCAGGAGTTGAATGAGGATGGAGAGCTCTGGCTGGTTTATGAAGGGTTAAAACAAGCCAACAGGTTATATCTGTCTCCTCAAAGGGGATTGTTATTAACTTGTTTTCCTTACTAACAGTGGACTCACAACTTTGATGCATTGTGTCTTGTGCATTTATTGCCCTCCTGAGACAATTAGTCTCAATAAAACGTAGACTCTGCAGCCAAATACCTTCTTTAAAATTGTCTCTACTAACAGATACTGCTAAAGCTCAAGTTGATTATAGGTGAATACAAATTGCTTCATATAACCCACAGTGCTGTCAGGAGTGAGTGTCTAAAAATTGTGATTCTCACTAGGACAAGTTATTGGAGCATGGCCGCTAGTCCTTGTTACCTGGACAGTAGCTTATTTGTGATAAGTGTCAATCTGGGATACACATTCCTGTAACAGATGTGGCCACTTGCTCATTATTGTGATGCTGCCTAAAAGTGTTGTCAGGTGCCTGATTCAGCAGTCTCTTGTGGTTATTGTGAAATCCAAAGCCAGAGAAATCAGGATAACCACCTGAGCTCAGCGATTTACTTCCAGAAAAAAACGAACAACATAGAATTAGCTGTGTCTCTCTTTAACACATTCATCTTCCCTAGTGATGTCTCTGTGTTAAAAATCTCATAAAAAAAATTCCATTTTAGTGATTATAACTTTAAAATCCTTACTGTTAAATGGGCTATGCTTGTTCGGCTTTGTTCTAACCATAACCATTGGCATTAACTTCCGTGATGTTGGCTAGCTTTCTTGAAATTTCATAACTAAAATATTTTAGTCTGCTATTAATGGTTTGCTCACAATGGCATGAGTAAGTTTTACTCAGCAGTTAATAACAAAGGAAATCAGGATTAAGTGTCTTTTTTTTCATGTTAGTTAATTCTTGACTATAACTTTGCCCAAAAGCTGTGTCTTGTTAGGATTGTTAGATATGTAATTTCATGGGGAGAGATGACAATTCTGTCTACACACACACACTTACAGAACTACTAGACTCCATTTGGGTTAATCTATGGGTTTCCAAGTAGTTACACGCCAGCCTGTCTGTTCTTGGATAACTGGACAATATTAAAAACATGATTCTGGTTCTACCTTTGCCTGAAATTCGTAACTGTGCTTTAAAGGTCTATTTCATTAGATTGGGGGTGTGTAATCTTGCCCTTTACAATGCAGCTATTTATTTATTTATTCATTTATTTATGGCAATGATACCATCTTTGCCAACTTAAGGACAACTTCATACAATTCAAAAGAATGCCAATGTTTCTGGCACTTGAGTTTCATAACATTGGAGTCAGGAGATGCACAGACCCTAGAGTATCCGCTTTTCCTATTCCTGCAAAGGAGCATTGTAGCTTCACACCCATCAGTGTGAACTTGGGGTGTCCTATCCCCTACAAACCTGTGTGGCCTCTCCGCAGGCTCTTGGAATCCCAGCTGCAGTCACAGAAGAGGAGCCATGAGAATGAGGCCGAGGCCCTCCGTGGGGAGATCCAGAGCCTGAAGGAAGAGAACAACCGGCAACAGCAGCTGCTGGCCCAGAACCTGCAGCTGCCCCCCGAGGCCCGCATTGAGGCCAGCCTGCAGCATGAGATCACACGGCTGACCAACGAAAACCTGGTGAGCAGAGTGGCGGTGCCCCAGTCTGCTGTGTGTTGTTTTTGGACAAGCACAGCTCTTCCTTGTTGGGAAAGATGCTCTTCTGTCTCTGATAGAAAGGGAAATATGAAGATGCTGGTAGAAATGATTCAAAGTAATGAAACTACACTCAGGCTGTTTCTCACAGCAGTCTCTTGGAGAATTGAGCCCTCACAGACCTTACCTGTAGTGTCTGGAAGAAAGTCTCCTGACTACGTGCTAGGCTTTAAATACCAGAGAGATACAGCTACAAATTATTTTACTTTGATCCCACGCATCCAGTGAGGATGCCATCCAGCCTGTCTAGCAGACAAGCCAGGGAAGGTTCTTGGTGGAACTAAGCATGGGCTATGGGTTGACACTGGACAGAGCTTCTAAAACGGGGTAGAGGGCCTAGTATTGAGGTTGGCACATTTTATTCTTTTAAGCAGAACTTGTACAATAGTAAGGAGGGTACTTTTGCTTTTCCCCTTACCAGATTCTGAATGCTGACATGGACTCCAAAGACTTTTCCTTTTTTTCTCATTCCTTTAAAATGTTTTTACCAAGAAAAAAAATTATTTTCTATAATTTTTCTTTCTCCATCACATTATAACTTTGATTACATATTTGCAATTTTTAAAATCTATGTAAATTTTACAGATATACTCATTGCATAAAAATCAGTGAGATATTATAATTGCAATTTTTACATAAAATCTGTTCTTTAGTGACATGAAAAAATTAGCACCTTTTAAGATCTGTGATAAAAGCGTTTGAATCTCTCTGAAGGTCTAATTGCATTAGCGATAACTGCCAACCCAGAGTATTTTCTCTCCAGTCTGTCTTATGTGCGAAGTTCCATGGTAGGAATGTGGGGAAGAGGGTGAGGGTGTTGTCTGGGCTCTTCCAGCATGACTGAACCGTACTACTCAATGGGGAAGCCTTCTCAGTCACAAAGTGTTCTTTAAAAGTTGTGTTTTACTCTTGTTGCTTAAATACCTAACAGTGCTTTTGATGATTAAGAATTGACCAATGTGTGGAATAATATTGACTGATCACTGTGCAGATTCTTTGCTTCTGAACCATCGTCTAAACTGCTAGGTGATCTCTGAAATAGGTTTGTTTCTGGGTGGTAGGCTCTCAGTTTATTCACTAAGTTAATCAAGTGTTGCCCTGCAGCCTATCTGAACTATTAACATTCTTGGCAAATTTTGTACCTAATGCAGAAACAATCAATCCTGCACTTTAAATAGAAGACACTAATTAGTTTGTGTTAGGCTACCCTTTGCAGATCAGCTGCTTCTGCCATTACACTGACTGCTAATTCAAAGAATATTACCAAACTCAAGTGTATGGAAAGATAGGCCTTTCCAGACTACTTAGAGTTTCTCAGTCTTCCTTATGCATTTTTTAAGGATGCACTTGAGCAGAATATTAAGGCAACCGTATGTCTAGGCTTAGTGCTTCTGAAGTTTTACCTTGCATACCCCCCAGACACACATGTACTCACAACACGCCAATGCACATGGGCATGGCTTTCTTTCTCTCCTGTGCATGGGCTGCACAGGCCTCCCCCATGCTGCCCCTCGCCATCTCCACGGTTCCCGATGGCAGTGGGGGGCTCACAGCCCTCCTGCCTTTTTTATTGTGTTGCCTCCCTTGCCCTTGCTGCTCTGCTGGTAGCTGAGCAGTGTAGCAGCTTGGGAGAACCCACAAATGAGGGAGGAGTAAAGGGTTGCGAACCGAAACGTCAGCCTTCTCTGGGTACCACGGTCCCCTGTTCTACGGACCTGCTGAATGACAGCAGCAGCCTGGCCATCACCTGTCTCCACTGGTCATGCTAACTAGATCTGCAGATACGAGACTCATCTATACTAGAAAAAACCGTGGTAATGGCAGGTGATAAATTGGAACTTGTGAGTAGATATAGTTTCATTACCTGTGTTTTAAAGTAATTTTAAGTTAATTTTGCTGAGAGGTAGCATTCCCTCAAAGACACAAAAAACAAATATCCATTGTACCTGTTTTTTCAGTATTTTGAGGAATTATATGCAGATGACCCTAAGAAGTATCAATCCTATCGGATTTCACTTTACAAAAGGATGATTGTATGTAAACCCCAGTGCTTTTCCGTTGTCTTCTGCTACTTCTAGCCTTCTCTAACTGAAGAGCACACTGCTGCCTGCCGCTGCCTAGGAGGCCTCTTCCAGCGTCTTCACAAAACCTCTTCCCTCAGCCTCCACAGCTCTCCTTAGCCAGTGTGCCGTCTCTTTCAGTGTCCTGTGTCCACTGTGTGGTTCGATCTTAACCCAAGGCTTACAGTGTGATGGAAGTACAGCCCAGCACTGGAGATGTTAGCAGCTGGTCCCTTGGATCCCCAGTCTGCTGTCTGAATCCACTCTTGTGCGAGCTGGAGAATGAACCAGCAGTTTCTAATAGTGTTCTCCATAACTTAGTGACAACCGCCAGCCACCTTCACCAGCTCATGTTCCTTCTAAGCTTTCTTAGTCTGGTCCTGTCCACTTCCCTCGGAATTCCTGAGTTTCTAACTGCCTGTCTTTACTAAATAGAGCCAGTCATCACAGATGGCTGACCTTTGCTTTAAATGTACAGGCGCTCTCTCTCTCTCTCTCTCTCTCTCTCTCTCTCTCTCTCTCTCTCTCTCTCTCTCTCTCTCATTTTTTTGTATTAGGCATACAAAGTTAGTCTCTTTTTTCTTCTTTCTTTCTTTGTTTATTTTTTATTTTTTTTGAGACATTGTTTTCTCTATTGTAGCCCTGGCTGTCCTGGAACTCACTCTGTAGATCAGACTGGACTCAAACTCATGGAGATCCACTTGCCTCTGCCTCCTGAGTGCTATATAGCCCAGGCTGGCCTTGAATTCTCTCTCAGAATTCCAGGTACTTGGGTTATATGCATACACCTTTGTGCTATGTATCAGAAAGCTCTTTATCCTTTTTTTTACTTTTTTTTTGTAGTTTGGTTTGGTTTTTAAGACAGAGTCTTGCTATGTAACCCTAGTTAGCTGTGAACTCACAGAGATCCAGCCCCTGCTGCCTCCTCAGTGATGGAACCAAAGGTGTTTGCCCCAACATCTGGCTCAGCTGACCTTTAGTTCCCCAGACTTCTTTATGTTTCTTAAGCTTTAAGGCTAAGTTTAGAACTGGTAAATCAGAACAGTGCTTTACACACGGGGCGTCAGTCTTTACAGAAGTGCAGCCGTCCTCAGATCTCCCATAGAACTTCTCATGCACTCGTCAAGACTGCTCAGTCCCCCTTCACAAGTCACTGCATCCGTCTGTCCGTCCGTGAGTGGCTTGGCACAGGCGTCTGTGGAAGACTTCCATCACGCTGTAAAGGGACTTCCGCCGTGTGCTCTGGCATTGCCCCCATGTAGCCGCACCTCCCCCGTCCGCCCCGTGAGCCGGGCGGTGCTCCACCCTGAGCTCTTGTGCAGCTTTGATGTGAACTAACAGTGCTCTTGCTGCACTCTGTCTGTGCTCCCCTGCGCCTGGACCAAGCCTCTTCTGATCTCTCTGATACAATTCTCACTTTGATTTAGGATCTGATGGAACAGCTTGAGAAGCAGGATAAAACTGTCCGGAAACTGAAAAAACAACTGAAAGTCTTCGCCAAAAAAATTGGTGAACTAGAAGGTACTTAAATATATTTGTACAGTATTTGTGAAGTTTTATTTCCTGTTCAGGAGGTTTACAGGTGAATTTTCAGAGAAATAACCAAAATGACTTTTGACAATCCTGACCTCTGTGGAGTGGAAATTTCTACTTCTACATGTGGGGATAATTTTCATAGTAATATAGCAGTAAGTTGCAAACAGAGAAAATTCATTTGCAAACACCTAACAAACATCTCTGATATGCCAGTATCTGCCCTAGTCAGTATAGCATGTGCTTAAGAGCAAGGATTCTAGAGACAGCTTCTTAGGTTCAAGTCCTGTCTCTCCTACTTCCTAGTCTCAGAATATTTGCAAATTGCTGAACCTCTCTATGTCTCAATTTTCCCACATTCTCACTGGGAATGATAATGTAAGAACTGAGTGAGTTCATGTAGGTGATGCATCTACAATAGTACTAGTAAGTGCTATACACAACCTACTTGTTATTACTAGAGATATGAAAAGAAATGTGGTAGAGTTTGTCCTTAAAGAACTCATGATCTAGTAGAGAGAAAAGTGTTAATCAGAAACCATGAGTTATAAGAAAAGAAACACAATTTAAAAATATAATTATTTCTATATGAAATAGGTAGCTCCTTGAGGAAAAAAATCCAGTGTTAAACATACTAATCTTGTCTTGTGGGTTAGTTTGTTAATTTAGTAAGTTTTATTGAATGCTTCCTAGGTGCTAGACACAGTTGAAGTGCTTGAGATCTAGCTGAGAAAGACCAAGAAATGCTAACTTCATTCCAATAACCACATCACTGCTTAGGCATTTTAGAGACCTAGTTTCAAAGATGAAATGACCACAAGTGATATGCTCATCCTGGCCATCTGCCGTATTTTCTAGTTGTCATCTTTATGATTCTCATGGCACAAAGGGTAGAGAGTCCCCACCACTTGAGATAGGAGATTCTATCCAGTGACTTCTCTATTGGCTTTGCCTCACTCCATCACATTACATCATGACTGTTCTCTTTGACTGCTGGGGTCCTGCTCAAGCCCTGCTCAGTCTTTGGGATCAAAGGCACCTGTCACATCCTCAGAAGCATCCTGATCACACCATAGACCACATGACCCTGCCTCCCGTGTTTGGGTCATACTTTCTGTGGTTTTTCACTGTCATATTTTTAGCAGTTTTTCTGTTTGAATTTCTGGTCTCTGTGCTAGACCAAGAGCATTCTGAGCATGGATATCACCTCTTATTTCCTACAGTTACAAGGAACACAGTGTCTGACCTATGATAGAGCATAGTATCATGGTTGTTAACTTTGAAGAAGATATTACTCTCTTTAATGTCCAGATATTGAAATGGTTGCTTAGATGTCAGAAAGATTACAGCCATATATTTCATATAGACCCTTAGCATTACATGACTCATATACTACATTAAAACTTTTAAAACTGCAGCAGTTGGGGAGATGTCTCTGCATATAAAGCCCCTCCCACAAAACTATAAGAACCTCATCCCCAAAACGGGCATAAAAAGTTGTCAGGCATGGCAGCTGCCTGCAACCCTAGTTTTAAAGAGGGGTCCCCCCATAACAAGCTGGCTAGCCAGACAAACTGAAACAGCAAGCTCTGGGTTCAGAGAGAGACCCCACCTCAATACATCAGGTAAAGATAGATGAAGGAAGATGCACAATGTAACCTCAGGCCTCCACACACACATGTGCACCCTCGTGCATGCATGCACACACCCCATACATACAAACACAAGGAGAAAAATCTTTGGAAACTCCAGGTCTGCACACATGAGCTATAATGTTCATTGGCAGTACTTACAAATCTAGGTTCTTTTTTCAGAGAACCTTTACACTGAACTGGGCATCATGATAAGACAGCAGAGGATTTGCTATAAAAACAAGGGTATTGTTTAAACTGTGCCAACATTAGTAAATATGAATATATATAAAAGCCATTGTTATTTCACATTTTAAATCAGTTTCTTTAAAATGTATGTTTTACCAGTGAGCTAAACCCTCAACCTTTGAAATGTAATTGAAGAGAGAAGTTAAAATATCTCAAGATGCTATTCATTTTTGGCATTGTCAATTAGAAATCTAACCTTTCAGTTAAACTATCCTGAAAGGCAAGCAAAAAACATTTGTGCTAGTGTGGGTTAAACAAGAAAAGACTTATTTGTTGTTAATATAAGTCTATATTTTGAGTTAATGATTTATATCTAGAGGATAAAATGAAATAGACACAGCATGACAAGCTCTTCCACCACGTCTCTCTTCTTCTCCAGGTCTGCGTTTTACAGAAAAATGCCAGTCTCTGTGCACCAAGGCACCTCTAATAATCAAAGTTTGTTTGTTCTTTAAAAGTGTTAAAGCATATTTAAATCCTTTTGCCTTAATTTAAAACAGCAAGACTCTTGCCTCTCCTGTGGGTTTTATTTAATTAAGGACACATTTTAAAAAAGCAAACTTTTTAAAAGAAAAAGTGCCAACATGTATAATTTTTAGCAGAAATTATACAGCTAACTAGAGAGTCTTTCAAAATCTGGTCTACATGATGCTCTATTTTAATCCAGGAGTAGGTGTTACGTCTTGGTTTTCATTAAAAAAAAAAAAATCAGACCTGAAAGTATTTTAGAAGGCAGTAGCTGTTTTGATCCAAGACAAACAAAAGCCCAGAAACCACAGTGACTTACCCACACCCTGTCTGATATGTTCTAGTCTAGAACCTCAGCCTTCAGGTTCCTCTACTTTAGATCAAACTTTCCAGAATTTCTCTACTTGTAAGAAATTGTCTGACAACTGGTTAAACCTGAGATTAAGATCTTCGTGGTACTTTGGAGAGAAGAGGCAAAATTTTAGAGACTCTTTTGAATTGCTTTCCTTTTCCAGGAAAAAATAAAAAAGTTAAGGAGTATTTCCTTTTTTGGTGTGTGAGAATCTAAAAAATGAAACTAGAAATTGCTGCAGGTTCTAGAAGAACGCCTGGACCACAGCAGCAGGCTAAGTGACTGCTGACTCGGTCTGTCTGTGCTGCTCTGGCTGGTGATTTATACGCAATTGCAAATACAGTTCTCACAGAAAGTTATTTCTCAGAGGGATAGAGGTTCAAGAAGATGCCTGCAGGTTCAGTGTCTGGGGAAGGTCTCTGCTTCCCAGACGGTGTCTCATTGCCCAGCCCTCCAAAGGAGACATCATCTGTTTGCACATGACTGAAGTCAGCAGAAGAAAGGTGTTAGCCTTATGAGGGAGCCCTTATAAACCTGATTTTAGGCATTTTCACATCAATTTGTGCTAATACTGTCCTACTAACGCTCTTGATATGGTTTGAATTCGAGATAGTGGTAAATTTTAAATCAATGCTCTTTTGCTTTTAATGACTAGGTATTGGATTCTTAGAACTAACATGTGCTTCGGCCGTCCCCTTTAGAATGCTTTTCTTCTCTTTGAGAGATTTGTTTGTTTGCTTGCTTGCTTGCTTTTGAGACAGGGTCTCGTGTAGCTGAGACTGACCTGAAACTGGCTGTATAGCTGAGGCTGACCCTGTATGCTTTATCTACCTGACTGTTTCCCAAGTGCTGGGGTCACAGGCATGCTCTGCCGTTCCTACCCTGTTTTTCCATTCTGCGAGCGAAAGTCTGAATCTGTTTAACTGCTTTTGGTTGCTAAAGATTCCTTAGCAAATATGCTAAATTGCATATGCTGGGGACTTTTCTGTTGTGCTGTGGATACTTGATCTTATTACAAAGTAAACCTGACACAAAACAAACAAAACCCTTGCCAGCTTCTGGGTAGCTTTTTGATGTTACTACTTGTGTATCAGGCTCTGTGGCTGTTAGAGTAGACTTACCCTGTGATGTTGCTGTTTACCCAGTTTCAACTATTCCACCTGACAAACATTTCTCTCCTTTTTTGTTTCTCCGGAAGTGGGTCAGATGGAGAACATATCTCCAGGACAGATCATTGATGAGCCTATCCGGCCAGTCAATATTCCCCGGAAAGAAAAGGATTTCCAAGGAATGCTGGAGTACAAACGGGAGGATGAGCAGAAGCTTGTTAAGAACCTAATTCTAGGCAAGTGCTTTCTGCGTGGGTAAGATCCCTTCCAGCCAGGTCAGTGCTGGAAAGGCTAGTCACTAGGTTTGAAAATGATGTCATAGTCTTTAAAATTATTTTCTTGACTGGCAAAATGGCTCAATGGGTAATGGTGATTGCTATCAAGCCTGATGATCTGAGTTTGGTTCCAGGGACCCCTATTGTTAAAGATCGGTATCAGCTCCGGCCCCCCAAGACCAAGTTCTCAGCACAAAGGAGATTTATTTGCCCCAGAGGGACAGAAGGCAGAGAATAAGAGACAAACACAGAAGATAGAGGATGAGGGAGAAGGGGAAGGGAACAGGGGAGATGGGGAAAGGATAGTTGTCCCAGAGGGACAAAGGACTGCCTCTGGATAAAGGGGAGACAGATGTGGCCCATAGAAAAATGGCAGTTTGCCGGGCGGTGGTGGCGCACGCCTTTAATCCCAGCACTCTGGAGGCAGAGCCAGGCGGATCTCTGTGAGTTCGAGGCCAGCCTGGGCTACCAAGTGAGTCCCAGGAAAGGCACAAAGCTACACAGAGAAACCCTGTCTCGAAAAAACAAAAAAAGAAAAAAAAAAAAAAAAAAGAAAAATGGCAGTTTATAGGTACAAGGGGAAACCCTGTGTTAGGATGAAATGTTTGGTTTTAATCAGGCATGTTAATTAAGTGAGGCAAAGGGGGCTTTTGATTGCTGGACTTCAGTACTTTGTTAGCTGGACCTTAGTGGTCAGCCTCCTGAAGAGGAAGTGTCCAAATAAGGGACTAGACCTTGGTGGCTAGCTTTAGGACTGTAATCTAACGGTTTTTAGCAAGGCAGAGGGGATGGGGGAGGGGCAAGCTCTGCCAGAGCCGTGCCCGCCATGCCCCAGCCTGTCAGTCCCTTGGCCTATGGTAGAAGGAGAAAGCAGAGTCCTGTAGGCTGTCCTTTGCTTCCACAAATACATTGTGTCACAGGCCCTCACACAGCACACATAAAACAAATAAATGTTTTAAAAAATGAAGTTCTAACACTTCTGTTTTTTAGACAGTGGTCCTGTCGTGTCCATGCTTATGTTAAACTCCTGGGAGTTACCATCCAGTTTCAGCTTTCTGAGCAGCGAAGGCCATAGATGTAAGCCACTGGCAGGTCCAGCTATGAAGTTTTATGAGTCATCATTTTGTACTGCATTGTAGTGCTGTGGTAGAATCCTTACTGAGCATTCACTACCAAAGTGGAGAACGTGTCTAGGATCCATCTGCAAGGCTCCCTTGAAGCCAAGCCTCTCAGTTCTGGCTTCATGTTAACACCAGTCAGGAATTTTGGTTTGTTTTGGTTTGGCTTTGAGACAGGGTCTCATTGTATATAGCCCAAGCCAGCCTAGAACTTGATATGTAGCCAAAGCTAACCTAGAATTCACAGTACTCCAGTCTCTGACTCCCAAATACTAAAGTCTGTGTGTGCTTCCACTAAGGCCAGCATGTGAAGGTTGTGTTTGGGGAGGGGGGGCAGAAAGCAAACCCAGGGCCACATGAATAGTAGACAGATACTGAGCCATATCCTCAGCCCACTTAGGAAGCTCTTTAAAAGTGTTAATAGCCCCCCGACCCCAAATTAAGTCAATTGAAATTTCCAGGGCAAAGAGCTTGGCCACATCTAGTACTGTTCTGAAAATGTCTCAGGGATTCCCAAGTGTAACCGCAGTTGGATGCCACTATTGTAAGCCATTTAGGTTTTTTAATTTCTGTTTTCATTCCCCAGAAATGTTTATGACTAACTGTATTTAGGACAACAATTCAATAATATGGAGGAAAAAATACTAAGGAAAAAAAATCCCAGCAAAGTACAGAAAAGATGGGATAATTGAAAAAGGAATGGAAGAGGCATTTGGAGGGGGTCTTAAGGCCTTGAGTGTGAGCCTCTAAGAAGAATGTATAGGGGAGTAAAAGAAGGAACGAACACATGAACCCCTAAGTAGTTGTGAAACTAAAGCCTTCAGCCTCTGCCGGTCCCTCCTGCCAGCTGCCATGGTGACAGCAAAGGGATGGATGATCACACCTGATTTGACATTCCTCCTTCGTGGCTCTCAGCTCAGTGCTATATATAGGTTCCGAGTGCTTCAGTTTCAACATGATCTTCATTTAGCAAAAATGCTTAGGGGCTGCTGGTGGAAAGGGCGAAAGGATAGAGAGGAAAGACAGGCGTACAGGTTCTATAAACTTGTCCAGAAACACTCTTTGATGCCCACACCTGTTCTGTGCACAGTGGCTAAAGAGAACAAGGCACAAGGTGTGCTCCTGAAGAAAGAACATCCGAGGCGGAAAAGGTGCAAGGACGTGGGCCCTGGGTGGGAGCCATGGCACGTTCAGCAAACAGCAAGGAGACTTGTTTGGAGCAGAGTGAGCTGAGCATGGGGAAGAACAGGGCTAGATGATGTGGAGCACAATTTGGGTTTGGAATTTTATAAGCAAGCGAAGAAGCCCTTTGGAGAATTCTCAGAACAAAAGTGGTATAACCTAACATGCATTTTCTTAAGTAAATAGCTGTAGATACTTAGAAATGGTCTGGGACTAGGGGCCGATAGGAAGCTATTCCAGCAACCCAAGAGGAGGTGATAATGTCCTCAACTGGAGAGTAGCTAGTGGAAGTAGAAGTAGTTAGATTCTGGCTGTATTTTTCAGGGAGCACTAATAGGACTGATAAATTGGGCATATGGTGTGAGAAGAGTAAGGAATTTAAAAAGTGATGAGGTTTGTGACCCGAGAAACTGAAGATGGAGAAGTCCATTTGTACGGTAGATTCCATGAGGAATGGAGAACTTGGCTTGGGAGAGGCTTGATTTGACATGCCTGAGCAGAGACATCAGGAAGACAGTTGATAAACAAGACTGGACTTCAAGGGGAAAGTCAGGGCAGGATATATGAATTTTATATAGACATGTGCCCATAGTCAATAATTTCACTAATGAGCTGTTAAAATACTGTTTTGGGTTGTTTTTTTTTTTAATGACTTGCTCTGAATGATTGAGCTCTTACGCAACTGTGCTTTTATCTCCCACAAAACATGCCTCACAAAGACTTTCAGGGTTATGTAATTTTGTTTCTCCTTTTTTTCTTTATTCAGAATTGAAGCCACGTGGTGTGGCTGTCAATTTGATTCCAGGGTTACCAGCATATATCTTATTTATGTGTGTGCGACATGCTGACTACCTGAATGATGACCAGAAAGTAAGGTCATTGCTGACGTCAACAATTAACAGCATCAAAAAGGTCTTGAAGGTCAGTTCCATGTTCCACAGCTCATGGTTGTTAATGATGAGTCTGTGCAGAGGCACTGTGTCTTCTTTAGACTTGGACAGCTGCTATTCACAAAGCCTTTTCAGTCTTAACTACCAATTCCTGTTGCAGGAAATTTATGTAACCTTCCTGTGCTCGCTGCCTTCTCAGCACTGTGGCCAAATGCCTGACAGAGCCACTTCAAGGAGGAAGATCATTTTGAGGGCTCAGAGCTTAAGGAGGTGTAAGCCCATCTCAGAGGAGCAGGAAGCAAAGATGAATTCAGGAATGGGGCTGGACTATAATCCTCAAGGCCTGCCCCCTTTCCTCCAGCTAATCCTTATCTCTTAAGGATTCCACAGCCTCTCAGAAACCACTAGCTGGGGACCTGTGGTAAACAGGACACTGTCCACATACCTTCAGAACAGGTTCCTATCGGACAGTAATCAAGATGAATTTGATATTATTGCATTTAATTGTGGAGCAAAGTAATTCTTCACAGACAGTAATAGTCTGCTTTAGGTTTTACTGGGAACAAATTTAAAATGTTTAACAGAAGACAGGCATAGTGGCATACATCTTGAGGATCTCTATGAGTTCAAGGCTAGCCTGGCTTACAAAGCAAATTCCAGGCCAGCCAGATCTACACAGTAAGACCCTGACTCAATAATAAATAAGTAAAATGTTCAAATGTTTAGTGGAAACCAATTATATACATACATGTTAATATGTGGTCCATATATGTACAATATGATGCTGATGTTGAGATAAATGTCAAGTTCAGTAATATATAGCTTATTATAAAAAGATGACTGATGTGACACTAATTTTTTTCTTTCAACTTTTGTCCCCCTATTCTCCAATTCATCCCACGAATTATCTTGTTACCTAAAATCCTTGTGAAAACAACATGGAGATGGTAATCAGAGAAAAAAGGCTTGGGAAAGACAGTCGCTTTAACAGTGGAGGAGAAGCCTTCTAGCTCAGTGACTCCGGAGAAACACATCTCACTTCTACCTCAGTGTTTCTGTGAGAAACTAAGATGTGCTCCAGGCACCTTGCCTTCTGATTACTCAACTTAGCACAGCATCTAGGATGAAGATCCAGTAACTCTCTTGCATCTAAATGGGCTTTTAAAATTTTTATTGTAAAGTCCCTCCCCTCAGGGCTCAGGGAACCCTGCAGAAGAGGAGCCATCCTGGCAGTGAACAGGTCCCTGCAGAGGAAGTAAGGAATTGAGGGGCCAGTGGAGGTGATCCAGGCCATGGTAGTGGTGAGAATCTTGCAGCCTGACTCACTAGCAGCCAGAGTGCTTCTTTATTTATACAGAATTTAGTAAGCAGGGATACATTCATGATGTTCCAAGACATAGATCATATCCTTTTTGTTTTTGGACATGTATTTCACTTCCTCTTGCTCATCTTTTAGTCATCCATAATAAAATGTGACAGAACAGAGTTATATCCAATCATTTTCCCTCAAGTTTTAACATCATTAATAAACAGAGTTATAATTTTTACTCATTAACTCAAAACCCATTTTTTAAGAATCTGGAAGCATATAACAGCCTGTTCTCAGGCTGGTAGCTCTGGTTGCTTCAAGTACACTAGACCAAAACAAAATTTCCAAACCAGCCTGGGCATACTGCCATGTCCCAAGCAGTATATTATTAACTCTTAATAATCAGAGTATGCAGGAAAAATCCTCATATTGCCCTGTCCCAAGCAGTATATTATTAACTCTTAATAATCAGAGTACCCAGGAAAAATTCTCAGGCTACAACTGCTGCAGTTATTATTCAAATTATGGCATAATGCAATGTTTATATCTTTATAGAATTTGTCTATAGGTCTAATCCTGGCATTCTGTTGTTCCTTGGTCACATGACACCACAGTGGCTCTGCATGAGCTAACTTTCTAAGAAAGGGGGTCCTGACATCTCATTCTTTTATCATCTTTCCACTCCATTCTTTGCTCATCAATATAAGTCTCTGTATAGAGAGAGTTAACTTCAGCCAATCTAACTTTGTTGCTGTATATGTCAAGTAATTGCCTGAGTGTACAGTGGGAAGAGGCTTGCAATCTGAACTGTGGCCAACTCCTCTAGCCTACCAAATCCTGTTGACTTTTTTGAGTTTACTTTGTTTTGAATATCTTGTTCCTGCATAAGTACTGGGACAGATGTTTCAACAATGTCTCATAGCCTCATAAAGAGAGCTCTGGCTTCCTTATGTGTGTCACAACCTCCAAGGTGTAAGGAAGACCTTCAAGTAGATAAGGATATCTCCCTAAAAGCAGGAGGGTTAGTATGTTCAGAACTGTCCCAGAGAAGCTTAGAAGCAGCATTACTGGGAGAAGGCATAAATGATTCATAAGAAATTTTCCATCAATCCAATATCCCCAAACTGTACAAATTTTAAAAGTCCTTCAAGTATGTAACAGGTGGAGATGAAAACCAAAGGTGGCACAGCAGCCATCATGAGACTCAGCTCTGCTGGATCTTTGTCAAGCAGCTGTGCTGGCTTTGTGACTTTTGCTGTTCCCATCAGATATGGCTGTGGCAGTAGACCAGGCTGGCCTTGAATTCACAGAGATCTGTAGCTAGAGTTTTCCTGCCTTGCCCACAGTCAGGACAAATCTTTGTCACCCGCCAG